GGAATCATCCCACTGCCTGTGAGCTCCCTGGCCCTGCCGGCCGAGAGGGAGCTGCTCTGATAAAGCGATCGGTCCAGCTACGTGTGATGAGTGTCGTGAGTGCCGCCGGCTGGAGACGGGCAGGCGCGGGGCAGGGTTCCTCTGGCCGCGGCAAGTGGACGCCGCTTTTTACTCCACGGTGGCTGCCTGCCTGTCGACGCAGAAGCCAGCTGTGCCTCCTGCCCTGTGCCCCGTGGCCCTTGCTGACTGATGGAAATGGCCCTTCCGAGAGGCAGGTTTTGGAAATTGTATCTGCTCTTGGCCATTATCGTATCATTCACTCCTCCTTTTCCTATTTGTTTCCTAAACTTCCAGCAGCTGCCTCTTGGGCTCCTGGGCTTCATGCCATCGGACACTCCCATAGTGAGGCCCACCCCTTTTCGCTGCTGACTCACTGGGTGGAGGTGGTTTTGGAGAACCAAGAACGATTTTCTAGTCTTTTAAATGCAGTTTCCCAGGGAGAATGTTAAAAAGAAAAGCTCTGGTTCACCAGGATGGCCTTGTTATGCTTTGGGCAAAGTTGAGTAATTTCTTGAGTCACCCTGGGGTTTGTGTAAGCTTTTTTACACACGCTTTTCAAATGTACCTTTTGAATAGATGATACTTGCCCAATTCCAAAAGAGTTAAAGGTACATTATGTCCTAGCTCTCCTCCTGGAGGCAGCCACTGGTTTTCTACTTCCTTGAGGGGACTTTCAGGTACATGTTCAAGGAAGTAAATGTATTTCTTTCTCTGGTTTTCTACTTCCTTGAGGGGACTTTCAGGTTATTCTCTACATGTTCAAGGAAGTAAATGTATTTCTTTCCACATTTGGTTGCAAATGACCTATGTCATTTTCAACACCCCCTTACTAGGACTTAGGGATAATTTAATATATAAGAAACAAAAGAGCTGCTCATTTTCAGTAGCTGCATAACACTTCATTGTACGGCTATCCATAATCTATTTAACCTGTCCCTTACTGATGGACTTTTAGATTGTTTTTAACTTTTTTCTATTATAGATAGTGCTGTAATTAATAGTCTTGTACATATATGTGTTGTATTTGTGCAAATATTTCTATAAGATACATCTCTGGAAATGGAATTGTGTTCTAGTTCTTTATGTAATTACATTTTTCAAAATGTAACCAGATTCACTTTCTTAAAAATTGCATTAAGTTTTCTCATGTGCAGATAGTCTTTATTTTCATTCTGTTTTTAAACTCTTGTTGACATAATTCCTCTAGCTCTTTAAAGGTAAAATTTAAGAAATGCAGAAATAGGACTTTGTCACTGGAACAATTCCTGGGATTTAGAAATTTAGTTGTTTTTTGTAGTCTTTGGTACGGTAACTACTTGTTGCCTTAAAAATGTTATGTATGTGTTTCATAACTTATTTTCAAATGGTCTATCTGACTGTTGTTAGATGTTGTTGTCCCTTTACTCCTTATACCACCCAGGCTTAGAGAAGAAGAGAGCCAAAAACATTTTAGTTTGTTCCTGTTTTTACATCCAGGCCTTTGTATATCAAATAACTATTTTAGAACTGAATCAGTTTTCTTAATATCTTACTATCTTTTTTATTAACTTACTAGAGGCCTGGTGCATGAAATTCATGCACTCGGGGGCATCCCTCAGCCCAGCCTGTGCCCTCAGTCCAGGAGCCCCTGGGGGATGTCCGACTGCCAGCTTAGGCCCGCTCCCCACAGCAGTCTGGCTGAGCGGTGCTCCCCCTGGTGGTCAGTGCAGGTAATAGCGAGCAGTTGAGCATCCTTAGCATATCATTAGCATATTATGCTTTGGTTGAACAGATGACCGGACACTTAGCATATTAGACTTTGATTATATAGGATAAATTTGACTCAGTATATGTCCATTTATTCTAAATTTAGCAAGTTTTCAGCTTCTATCCTGTGCTTATGTCATAAGAGACACTATAATAAATTAAATTTATTACCTCATTTTCCTATATTGTATACTCAAAAGGCATGATACCTTCTCCCCATCTTTATCAGCACCTAGGACAGTGCATATTACATAGTGGATTTTTATAAATTTTGATTTGGATTTGTTTGGGGGCTTTCTA